TAATGAACTTATGAACTTTCAACTTCTACAACTCGCGCTAAATTATATCAATCAATCCGGAATAACCCCAAATTTTGCATGCACATCCCAAATGACATAACAGAGCTATTCCAACTCTCGGAATTGCAATCCGAGTCGGATATCAACAAAGTCAACTCCCGGTCAAACCTCTCAACCTTCCAAACCTTCAACTTTCCAATTTTCGCCAAAATGCATCAAATCAACCTACAGACCTCAAAATCCAAATTCGGACATACGCCTAAGTCCAAAATTACCACACAAAGCTATTGGAATCATCAAAACACCATTCCAGAGTCGTCTACACAAAAGTCAAATTCCGGTCAACTCTTTTCACTTAAGCTAAAACAAGAATCATCCTTCCAAATCAAATCTCGAATCATCCCAAAATCGGACTGGATCCCACACACAAGTCATAATACATAATACGAAGCTGCTCGAGACCTTAAACCACCGAACGGGATGCTAATTCTCAAAACGACCGGCCGGTTCGTTACAATACCGGTACTACCGTCTTAAGTACCCCCTTAGGGCCAGTAGGGGTACTGGTAGGGTTCCTGTAAAAGTATCTTTACCCCGTACCCTTAAATCCCCTTAACAAAAGTCCCCTTAAGGACCCNCCCCGTACCCAGTCCCCTTAGAACCCAGTACCCTCCCCTTAGATAGCCCTACGACAACATTGAATTGAACTAGTGATCCATTAAGACAGAAAGAAGTGATAACCCACTCTGCCACTACGGTTTCTATCACTGTATGTATGTGTCACAACCCAAATCCTATAGTAGGTTGTGATGGTGCCCATCAACGTTGTTAGCCAAGACAACGGTAAGCTTCCAACTTAATTAACTATTTTTAACTTTTAAAATCAAAAATTTCTTTAAATACACTGAATTAAATGAGATCGCATGGAAACATACGTACTTTTTTGCCAAAATACCAAGTGCGAATAATACATAAATCACATTGATAATAATAACAAGTACAACGGTGAATAACCACTAGAAGCCCCCAAAATCTGGTGTCACATGTGCATAAGCCATCTATAGAATATACAAAGCCACTACATCTAGTGTCTGAAAAGTAATAGACAGAAACAATAAATAAGATAGAAAGAGACTTTGGGTACTACAGTTTGAAGCATGAAAGACATCTCACCACTAAGTCTCCGTGCGATGCGTCTACACGCTCGTATGACCACTAGAAGTACCTGTCTCAGTACCTGCACAATCAGTACAGAAGTGTAGCATGAGTACGTAAATCAATACGTACCTAGTAAGTATCTAGTCTAACCTCAAAAAAGAAGTGACGAGGGGTCGACTTGACACTTACTAGTGGTCAAATAATAAAATACATAAGGTAGACATGTATGAAACACAACATGTGACAACAAAACAATTAAGCTTTAATAATAAACTTCCAAACACGGATTATTACGAAATCACTAAAATATCATAACCGGCCTCGAAGGCACAAAATCAACTGATACCAATACAAAATGAACTCTCAAGTGTTACGCATGAGTCTGCCGAGGCGAACGACCCAATCCCATAAGAGTATTTATAATCTTGTCGAGGCAAACAACCCGATCCCATAAGAATAATTTATAATCTTATCGAGACGAACAACCCGATCCCATAAGAGTAGAGAAACTCTCTTGCTCGCAAAAATACATGTGAGTAGAGAAGACATGGAACTACTGTTCATTAAATATTTCACAATTTCCAAAGTAAGAGATTCAGTCAATATTTTATTCTAGTCTCAACCCCAGTCATAAATTAAAGAAATAGAATATACAAGATTAATGCAAATAGTACATTTAAGGCATGATGTGAATCTTAGTCTACCCGGGCATAAACATGAATATAGCTATGTACCGATTCTCGTCATCTCGTGCGTACATATCCCCCACAACAAGTAGCACGCATCAATTTATACATCTAAAGGAATCTTACAAGATTAGTTAAGAGACTTACCTCGCTTCCAAGCTCACTACTTGGCTCTTAAACCTCACTAGTAATCCCAAATCGATGCCTAGCAATCCGAAACTAGACAAGAGTCGTACAAACTAATCAATACATGCTCAAAAGTTCATAATTCATCTATTAGAGTAATTTTTCAACCTAATTCGGAAAGTCCATAAAAGTCACCACTGGGCCCACGTGCCCGAATTTTAAAAATTTTCGAAGATAAATGTTACCCATGACATTACGTACTCAAATATATAATTTATTCCCACATAATCAATTTCGTGTTCAAATCCCTTTTTTTTTTTTACCAAATCATAGGTTTCCAACAAAATCCCATAATTTTTACTAATATTTATATTAAAATCTACCCATAATCCATGTATTTAAATAAAATAAAATGGGTAGATTTCACTTACCTTGTGATGCTTGATGAAAATTCCCTCAAAAGAGCTCCCGAATCCGGCCAATCCAAGTAAAAATTAGAAAAAATGAGCTAAGTTCTATATTAAAAATCAAGTTTGCCCAGGGATTTCTTCTTCGCGGTCACGAAAGGTTCCTCGCGATCACGAAGAGCAACTGATCCATCTGACCAAACTACTCTATGCGTTCACGATCTCAAGGTCGCGTTCGTGATGCCCAACAAACCTATCCCTTCGCATTTGTGGTCCCCTAGTCACATTCGTGATGGCCAATAACCTTCCAGCCCATCTCAACCCCTCCCTTTTTCGCGTTTGCGAAGGGGGATCAGATCCTTCATCGCGTTCGCGAAGAGTAAAGTCTCAGGCCCCTCACCAGTCTTCTTCGCGATCGTGGGACTACCTTCACTATCGCGAAGCACACCAATAATTTCAGCCAACTTTAACTTAGCTTCGGGTAGTCCGAAACATACCCGAGTCATCCGGGACCCCATCCAAATATACCAACAAGTCCATAAACATACTACGGACCTACTCGAAGCCTTGAAACACATAAAATAACACCGAAACCAAGAATTGCACCTCAAAACTATATTAATCAACTTCTAAGCTTCAAACTCATTCCAACCAACTTTGAACGCAACGAACTATACTTAGACAACTCGCAATGATGTTAAATTTTACACACAAGTTACAAATCACAATACGGACCCATTCCAAGGCTCAGAATTCCAAACGGACTTCGATAACACTAAATTCTACTTCAAATTAAACTTAAGAAATTCTAAAACTTTCAAAATGCCAACTTTCAACAATAAATGTTGAAACGCTTCTGGTCCATCCGAAACATGATCCGAACATACGCCCAAGTCCAAAATCATCATACAAACCTATTGGAACCTTCAAATCGCGATTCTGAGGTCGTTTAATCAAAGTGTTGATTCAAGTCAAACTTGGCTACCTTAGGCTACTATTATGGACCTGTGTGTTCCAAATTCAACCTGAACCCTTTCAAAATCAAACCAACCATCCCCGCAAGTCATGAAATAGTAAAAGCACATACCGGAGATCTTAAATAGGGGAATATGGATCTAGAAAGTAAAATAATCGATTTGGATCGTTACAGTATGTATGTGTGGAAACTGAATTGAACTTCATTTAAGCAATGATACACCTCAACATCAACACCAACAAGTGTCAAGCTAATTCTGAGGTAAAAGATTATTCGTATAAAGTGTTTATATTAAACTTTATTAACTTATTTGTATAAATATATATCATGCATCTATTAATTTAGTATAAACAATAACAACAACAATAATAATAAACTAGTGGGTTCTCGCAAGTGGAGTCTGGGGAGGGTAGAATGTACGCAGTCTTACCCCTACCCTGGTAGGGCAGAGAGACTATTTTCGATAGACTCTCAGCTAAAGAAAAGATGAAAGAAGCACTGACATCAAATAATAATAATACAAGATATTAAGAAACCGAAGCTAAGATAGCAAAAGAACTATATGTAGTAATAGCAATCTAAGAAAATTTAGTGTAAACATGAGATGCAAATAAAATTTTACCCTTAATTCTGGTCAACTATAAATATTCAGATCATCTATTGGCCCTTCATTTAGGCATGTTCCATATCAAAATTTAATCAAATCCTAATGAAATTAACAGGACTCCAACAAATATTAGACTGATGTAAATGTTGGTGAAATTGCAAGTAATTACAGTTAAAAAATAAGATGAAGAACTAAATAAATATTCTTGGGTTGAGGCGCGGATATCTCACTCTCTTTAAGGAGATTCAAGCCCATTGCAGTAACATATTCACCAGTCTAATAATAATACTCTTGACTTGTCCACTTCCAACAGCTGGATAATGTCGTGTAACTCGAACAAACTCTGGACAAGTTGTTGAGTCCAAAACTCCATCAAAATGAATATTTTCCTTCAATAAAATAATATTCTCTTTTTGTAGAGAATAAGTTGGAGACTTAGATTTTCTCCTTTTCTCAACTCTCTTTTTAACTATATCAACCACATTTTTCATGTACACTGCAATATTTTTTCCATCCATAACACACGGAAGAAACATCACTATTTATTGGTGTAAAATTTATTCCATAGAATAAATAACAAAGTAGTGGCATAATAAAATTATAGAACATGGTTGGTGGTTATAAAATTTAACTTGTGGTGGATAATTAATAGTAGATCATGGCATTAGTGGTTTCATGAGTTACTCCAAAGATGATGACCACTTTCTTGCCAATTTATAGCCACTACCTTACAAGAAATAATACACTTTAATATTATAATTTTAATATTAGGTAACAACAATATTAAGTAAATATACCAATGATACTATCAGTAGGTGTTCATACAATATTTGAAAGAATATTTAAGCCTCAAGTTTTAAAATATAATTGAAAACTGAAGTTGTATTTGTCCATAAACTTTATTTTGAAGAGAATTAGTGAAAGTACAAATTTTGCGTGTGAAAATCATTAATTAACTTAAAATACTTATTATATTAAACTTTAATATTTTAAAATACTTAAAATTTACTCATTATTTATTTCCTTTCATCCCAATTTGTTACCTCCTGAGTAGTGTACTCCTTTTACTCCAACCCAATTGAATTAAGTTCTCTTCGCTCATCACGTCACTGCCTTTACAAGAAAGATGAGTACTGTCGACGCCAATGCACAGTCATCCTCCTCCCTCATCAAAGATTTCCTCCACAAATGCGGCGGGGTTGCCGTGATCGACGGCGGCTTTGCGACGGAGCTGGAACGTCATGGCGCCGACCTCAATGATCCTCTTTGGAGCGCTAAATGTCTCCTCACTGATCCTCACCTCGTCCGCGCCGTATGCCTCTTTGGAGTTTAATACTGTATTAAACTTAGCTTAATAGATGTTTTTAAATAGTATAATATTTAGTTCACTGACCTTTTCGTATTCTCTTAACAATAATATTTAGACTTTCACTTGTTATGCTTATTAAATAGAGTGGATATAGGGAAAAGGATTACAATTTCAGTTCAGTTCTGTAGGATGTTTTAGCTTTACAGTAACTGGTATGTGGATAAGTCGGACCACCATTTGGATTAATTATTAGGAGTCGATGTTAATCTTGCTGAGTGGGTCATCTTGTGGGTTTCTAGATTTTAAAAGTTACTACTTTATGGGTGAAGACATGGGCTTATCTGTAGGAGTATAAGGAGTGTGTTGTAGGCGGCATTATTATCTTGCACACTGCTAAACTCATGCTTTTCCCAGGAATCATCAATTTCAGAAAAATTAAGTAGAGAGTAATATCATAAAATGTGAGATTTTTGAGCCAAAACAATGTTTTAGTTATGAAACAAACAACTGAAGTATTTGATTCCTCTCAAAAACTTTCTTAAAAAACTGAGGAGGAGGAGGAGATTGTAGTTATTCTCCTCCATCTTGCTTTAGCACTAAGGCAAAATCCAATTAGTTCGAACTGATAGTGACTAAAAAAGAGATAAATGATTAAATAGAAAAGGAGGCTTTAATTAATCTGCTAAATCATTAGTTTTATATGATACTTAAACAAAATTAATTGTATCTTCCTTTAATCTGTCTTTTCGGTCTAGCTATCACCTTCAAGCATCCAGTAGACCTAACAGAAAAGCTTAACACTTCATCCTCTTGTTTTTTTATACTCTTTCTTTCTCGCTTGCCCCATTTGTTGCGAAAATGCTGTAAAAAAATCACTTATCTCTTCTTTATATAAATTGAAACCTTGCAACTAATGCATGCTGCTGGACGGCCGGAGAAGTTCTTGTTTTCTTTTATGGATTTCACGTCGCCAATTCTTTGTGGCGAAATATGTATAGAGGCACTAAATTTAGAGGAAATACTTTGGTTATTTTGAAGTGTTACCATGTCTACAATCTCCCATTTAATTTTGAATGTGATGACATCCTTATCCTTATGACTAGTTAAAAGCTCTTGGCAAAAACTAAGAGCCTGTTTGGATGGGCTTAAAAGCTGGTTTGGCAACCAAAATCTGGCAACTGGCAATCTTTTCTTTGATTCTTTCCCTTTTTGGTATCCTATGTGGATTTGTTGTAGGGTTTAGACTATGAATCTCATCACATCTGAAAAGCTTCGCTGGAAAAGCTTGAGAACTTAGTGTAATTTCACCATTCCCAGATATTTGCTGTACATGAAGTTTTTCTCTTTGTACTATTACATGGCTTATTGGTGTACTAAATAGAGCAGGTACACTTGGATTACCTTGAAGCTGGTGCAGATATTATACTCAGTTCATCTTATCAGGTACTGCTTTTGTCATTTGCAACCATTGTTCCTCTCTCTACCTCTTATGCAAAATTGATTGCGCATGGATGCATCTTAAATTCTATCTATATCCTTGTGACTAGTTTCAAGTCTTCTCATATTTGGACAGGCAACTATCCAGGGGTTTAAGGCCAAAGGATATTCCCTAGAAGAAAGTGAATTCTTGCTCAAAAGGAGTGTTGAGATTGCGTGTGAAGCACGAGATGTGTACTATACTAGATGCTGTAAATCTTCGTCTGATCATAGCACTGATGGAAAGGTTCTCAAACAGCGTCCTATCTTAGTTGCAGCATCTGTTGGGAGTTATGGGGCCTATTTAGCTGATGGTTCTGAATACAGGTAGTTTTCAGAAGAATTAGCACTTTATTCCTCTTTCTTTCTCTGGTCTGATGTGATTTCTGTGCTAGGACCTATGGTTTTTTATGGGATGTAAGGATGGTTAGCTACTTGTTCCTTATAGGCATTTTCTGAGAATCCGTTACCTTATTTGCCTTGTGTCTTGTTAAGGCTTGTCGTGCTTGTTAACTTTTGATATTTCGTGCATTAAAGTGCATTCTGGGAATACATGGCCCGAGCAGAACTACTCTTCAGTTTGTTGTCATCTCAAGGTTAAAGAATAAGATTTGTCTCACTAACACCCATAAAGTGCTTCTCACAATTCTCTCCTGGTGTCGTTAACATTTTCCCTTCCTCTTAAGCACCAACTGGTAGTAGCTTCTCATGCATGTGAACTGACTTACTTATCAAAATGCAGTGGGGAATATGGAGATGCAATTGATCTCAAGTTTCTAAAGGATTTTCATCGAAGAAGGGTTCAGCTTCTTGCAGAATCTGGTGCTGATCTAATAGCTTTTGAGACTGTGCCAAATAAACTAGAAGCACAGGTATGGTCGTTGTGGGTTATATATTTAGAGGAAATCTTTTAAAACTACTTATTGTCTTACTACTACTAGAAGTTAGTGGTATCCCTTCTGTTATCATTCTCTATGAATTGCTGTGGACAATAATTATCTGCGACACGGCTATTTGTGACAAGGAAATTTTTTTTCTACCACAGTATAATGTGGGAAAGCCTATTCTGGTTTAGTAGCTTGTTTTCTTTTGTTAAGATGTTGAGATTGACAACTATTAGCACCTATGCAGGCTTTTGTTGAGCTTCTTGAGGAAGAAGACATAAAGACTCCTGCCTGGCTATCCTTCAACTCTAAAGATGGTATAAATGTTGTTAGTGGTGATTCTTTATCAGAATGTGCTGCAATTGGTGAATCATGTGGAAAGGTTTTAGCTGTTGGAATCAACTGTACTCCTCCTAGATTTATTCTGGATCTTATTCGATCCATCAATCAGGTAATTTTTTAGCTACAATTCCTGTCTACAATTCCACGGTTCCAAGCCGTGAAAACAGCCTCTTGCAGAAATTCAGGGTAAGGCTGCGTACAATAGACCCTTGTGGTCCGGCCCTTCCCCGGACCCTGCGCATAGCGGGAGCTTAGTGCACCGGGCTGCCCTTTTTCTGTTTTTCTTTTTACCAGAGTTGTTTATCAATTTGGGATTTTACATGGACACTTTTAATGGCTGCTTATGCTTACTAGAGAAGATGAATATCTGTAACAATAAATGAATTCATTATTTATCGTTCCAATCTGCTTTATGAAACTCAAGACTGCAACAGCTTGTCAACTGAGAAACTCTTCCAGTCTGTTTTACAAGCTGAACCTGTCAGTCAAGTGACATGATCAAAACAAGTTAAACCTGGTATAACGAAACCTTATATTTGCCAAAAACTGCATCTTTAGTTCCTTGTTCTATCTCCAAATCAAGAAAGGAGCTCATCAGGTTCATGGCAAATCCCACATTATTGCCTTGTCTCACCACCTATCCAGAGGTTCATTATTTCATTCTTATACTTAGTTTCAATGCAGACCCATAAGGAAGAGAGGAACTGCAGAGGAGAACTGGTTTTACTTACACACAGAAACATACGTTTCTGTTATACTGCATGGGAACATATTCGGCAATTTTGGGCCTATAACACCTGCTTATCATGGACTATAATGCCTTCATTGTCTTGGACTAATGCCTCCACTGACAGGGGTCATGGAGCCATGTGTGTGTCCTGTTGAAGGTCTATTCTTGGATGCTTCTCATTTTTTATCTATGAATACATGCAGGTATGTTAGGTCTTGCAATGCTAGCAGTTCAAAGGCGAAAGCTAGCTACATTGAACAAGTATCCTAACTTTAATATGGACTAGGTGAATAATGAATTAAGGATATGGAGGACAATTATTTCGAGAGAAAATGATTTTTCTTATTTTTTCTCTTGTTTGGATTTTAGGCGGAAAATAACAAGTAAATTCGTCTTTTAAATGTTAGCGGGTCCTTGCTCTTTCCTTTTGTCAAACCAGACAAGCAAATGGATAATTTTGAAGTAATGCTTAGGTTGCTTATTGTTCTCGGTAACTTTTTCTTATTTACTTAACACTAGCTATTTGTATAAATATATTCTTATAGTCTTCTTATTTTTACTTGCATTTCTCAGGTAACAACAAAACCAATCCTTATATACCCCAACAGTGGTGAGAGTTACGATGGTGATCGGAAGGAGTGGGTGGTGAGTAGTCCTCAGACTTTCTGCTTTTAAACTGTACCTATTGACTCACACTGAAAAAGCTTATTGATTCTCATTGATTTACAAAACAATTACGTGTTTATCCCTAGTCAGTGGTTTGTAGGAAAGAAACTATATCATCTCCTTTCTTGCAGAAAACATGGAGCGGAGACCCATAAACCTTGATGAGTTTCTTTCTCTTTATTGTGAATGTTGAGTTATTTGAGGTCAATATCCTTGAAAAACGCCACTTTCATCTTCACCTTTAGACTCTACACTTATTAATTGATGATATTATGGCCTACAACCTCTGTTACTCTCAATATTCAAGCATTAATGTGTTTTAAAAAAATTCAAGCATCAATGTGAAAATTTTCCATTTTCTTATTTAGGTAGCTTAAAGGTGCTGTCTGAAGCGCAAAAGAAGAAGAAAGATGTTTCAATACAGCAAAGAAATCTAAATCTGAATCTTCAAGAAGTAAAATGAAACTAAAACTGAAAGTTCTGCTCACGAAATAACTGGGGAAGAGCCACTTCAGCTTCATTTGTTTTCCTTGAAAAACAAAAAACAGTTTAGGCCCTTGGGCTTAATACAACCACGAATTTCTAGAGGACTTTTTGTGCTGTATGCAGTTCATTCAATCCAGAAGAAATATTAATCATAAGCTGTATAGCCGTATGGTTTTTGGATGTTCTTACTAATATCTATGCTGTAATTACTTCAGATTTATCCTCCTGATATTCTTTCCTCTATGTTGCAGCGTAATACTGGGATAGCAGATGAAGATTTTGTTCCTTATGTTAATAAATGGTGTGAGGCAGGAGCATCCCTAGTAGGAGGTTGCTGCAGAACTACTCCGAATACCATTAGAGAAATACACCATGCACTCTCCAGCCGACGTACTGTCTAATCCGAGGAGAACAAAATAGGGGCATCTAACTTAAAAACAAGACAAGATCTTGTGTCTAGTTCGAAAGAATTGTTTCCATCTCTAGTAAAACTGGATGGCCTACATTTGAGAAGAGGTTTCTGCCCTAACTGGAGTCAGGGCAGTAAAACGTCCTCCGATCGACCTAGGCTTTTTGTCAGTGGTGTAACATATTTGTGGTACGCGCAGGGTGTTCAAAAGATCCTGCAAGAACCATAACTATCTGCAAGGATTTGAGCACTTGTAATCTGTAGTTTCTCATTGAATGTACTGTTCTATCTATTTTACTACCAACAAGAACCATAACTATTTTGTATTATTATTGTGTTTAGAACTTCACTTTTCCCATATTGGAAGTTCCAAGATTTTAACCCTGATCTTACCAATTATGAAAACCGAAGTTACCTAATGATTGATGGCCACCGTGGCAACTTGAAAAAGCTACTGTTTGTGTGAAACAAAAATAATGGTCCATTTTATGTGATACCATTTGACTAAGCGTGAAGTTCAAAATCTTAACTTGACTATGTAGTGTGAAAAATATTAAAATAGTTAGGACAGAAAATACCGTATCAAATTTAAAGAATTTAATTTCATAAAATATGTTAAATTTAGAATGATATTGTTAACTATCAGTAATAAGGGATGTCCCAGAATTGGAAGTGTCTCAGACAAAACCGCCTTGGCGGGAACAGTTGTATCGAAATGAAAAGAGTAATATAAAAATTGAACCAAGGGAGTTGCTATTTTTGTAGAATACCTTAAGCTACACAATGTACTCCCCTTTCGCTTCCCCAACTCCAACAGCCCACCAAACAAAAAGCTACACATGAACACTTTTTGCACAACCTAGGACTTGAGAACTAAACAAGAAAAAAAGCAAAGCCACTAGAAAGTACCGATATTGAGTATCAGATGGATAATTGACCATCAACTTCGATTAGATTTTTCTGTTGATACTCGTGCAATGACAATGTCTAGCAAGACAATGGAAGTATCAATGTATCATACATTCATTTTCAAGTTGACAACAGCATTTCTGGATATAGCGCGTGCACGATTGTCATAGCCAACTTTCACACCCCTTTACATTATAAAAATGCTAAAAAAAGGACAGCTGATGAATCAGGCATCAAAACCAGAGTAAACACCATTATCCCTAAGCAACCTCTTTTCCTCTTCAACATAGCTCTTCCCTCTGCTAGCCTGACCAAGATCTCTCTTCCTCTTTTCTTTCTGTGAGAAAGAAAAGTTTTTCCTCTCTTTCTGAGTTCGTGCGTGAACCAGTTCCTCTGCTTCCTGAAGTGCAGCCCTCGTCTTCTGGCGCTCCTGATAAGTTTCTTCCTTCTCTTTTTCCCGAGTTTCCTTCCCTTTTGACCAAGACCAATTCTGCTCCTGATCTGGCTCCTTGGGTGGTGGAACTTTCAAGACAGACAATCCACCTTTATACCCATGGCGGCTTAGAGCTTCAAAGTCCACAGCTTTGCTCTTCCGCTTTGCAAACTCAGCTGAACATAGGCAAAGTTGAATCGTTATGCATCAAGCAATTGAATTTTTGCTGGGATATAGGACGATATACTACTTTGAAAACTGAGTGAAGCAGGTCCAACAACAAAGGTAGACTCCTAAGTCATTTATACAGTGGTAGATGTAGCCTTCAGCAGTATGTGGGAGCATCAACTGCCTTCGGCTTGAACTTTAAATACATGTTGAAATTACTTTTTTTTTGGATAACCGTGGTGTCCTACCCAGCTTGCGCGCACATCTGAAGTCTCAATCCACTTTATTGATCACTAGGCCACACCCTTGGGTGCTATATTGAGATTACTTTTAAAATATAGTATATTCATACTAACTCTGCACCTACTGTCACAGATGATTCGTTGGTACAACAGTATCCCTTACACACCGAATTAAATTGCCTATACAAGTTATAGGACCAAAACTATGTTTAGGCTAGAATTCAAATTGCTCTATTTAAGATCCTAGGGTAGTATTTCAGACTATGCAAATTCACGGATATCAAACAAAATGGGATCTTTGGTGATTTATTCCACACATTATGTTGTTCTACAAAACCAGAATAAATTATACTAGAAAAATAAACAACATATTTATGCAGTTACCTGCAGTTTGTTTTTAAATAGCATATTTTACTGAGAAGTAAACCTTTTTTTTTGTTGAGTAGCAGAAAAATCTTTGAGTTAATAACAATTATGTTTTAAGGACTAAACTTCTCAAGCAAATGAAAAAAACATAGAAGGGTTTTCGGAAAGGGGTAAAAAAGAAGGAAAAAAAGTTACCTTGAGAAGATTTATCTTTGGAGGATTTTGAAGTAGTACTAAGTTTAGGGTCGATTTTGGTGAACCCCAGATTGTCCTCAGTATCAGTATCAAGCGTTGAGGATTCATCTGAAGATGTATCGTCCTCTTCATCACTCCATGGCATTGTCCTCTTCATCCTCTCAACAACCTGCAAATCATCTTGATTAATTAACAGGCGTTCAAAAACCAAAACAGCTTTAACGTTAATTGAAGCTCAATTGGTACAATTAACAATTACCTTGTAGAACTCGAGAGTGAAGCAGAGGAGAATCCTGCAATTGAATAGCTTAGGGCTTAGTTCGTTCCAACGATCGATAATACGACGTCGGCTGTGGAAGAAAAGAAGAAGAAGAAGGGGAAGTTGGTGTTATTTTATATACAGACCCACAAGGTTTCGCTGAATTACAGATAATGCACTGTCCAATAATTTCTCTTCAGAGAGGCCCCTAACATCGAACGGTATTCAAAGAAAGCCGCAAAATTGCGCCACTTGCGATCTCCCCCCCC